GTGTGGCCCAGCCCCTACTTCCCCCCCCCCCGCCAGAAAGAGCCCAGTGTGGCCCCTAGCCCACAGCTGTAGTCCTTCCTGCACCTATCCGGGGGCACTCCCCTGCTCCCCTGCCCCGCCCCGTGCCTTCCCACGGTGCATGCAACAGCGGGAACTGCTACCTCTCCCCGCGACCCCCAGACAAGCCGTGACTCCATCCCGCACCTCGCCTCGGTTGGGCAGCACCTAGTCCAGCCCCTGCCCCTCTGTCTCCCTCACTGTGGGGGGTGTTGATCTGCCCCCTCCACGCCCCTTGCCTCTCCCCTCTCTGTTCACCACAACAGATTTACCAGCTGCATACAGCTCTCCAAGCTGCTGGGCTGTTTTCCTTGCTGCCTGCATGCTGCACTGTGGCGACACGCATGCACAGGCTTTCATCAAACTAATTATCGGCCACTTCAGGCCGATTTCGGATATAGTCAATTTTCTTTATATTGGTGCCGATCCGATGTTGGACTGATGTATCGGTACACCTCTAGTTTTCCTTTTTTGGGTACCCTCATTTAAGTCTTGTGACTATAAATTTGACATATGTGTTCATTATTGTATTGTTTGTGGGATACTTGTCTTTTAAGATTCATCCTTCTTCCCTTTTATTTGAAGTGTTGGACCACTCCATAGTGACTTGGAATATACTGTTACCGCACAGAAAGAAGGGTATGTCTTGACTGCAGTGGAGGGAACAGTTGGGGACTTCAAAGCTTTTGCTCTTGCTGGAGTGACTTTTGAGGTAATGTTCTTCACACTTCACCTTTTTTGAGGGGAAAATGTGCAGCAGAAGCCTCCACATCAAAACCCCTAAATATACCCACATTACCGACATAGAGAATTGATTGTGTGAACCGGGGAGATTTAGCCATTGAATGATTTTGGTATTTTTTAATGGGGACAGATCTCTGGCTAGTGGACCATTACCAGCAATGCAGCAGTTTTTTTCCTGTTTTATAATGAAGGTGTTAGACTCTGTCCTGCAAATATTGGTATTGATTTTTGCTAAGTTAGGCCTTTTCTCCATTGTTTCTTTACCTTATAAAAATGTCCTGGTATCAGTATCTCACAATAAATCACAAGTATTTCACAGTACCTCACAGCAATGCTACCATTAACTGATCGCTGCTTTTAAAAAAAATAGATTAAATCTGAAGAAGACCAGCCTCTTGCAGGGGTTCTCCTGTCCCTTAGTGGAGGTGTGTTCCGTTCCAATCTCCTGACACAGGACAACGGCATGCTGACCTTTTCTAACCTGGTAAGGTACCTGGTTTTGCCTCTGCTATGAATGTGCTTATACATGCCCCTTGCCCTCACAGTTGAGATATTAGCAATGCTCCTGAGCTTGGCAAGCCCACATTCTCTTTCTACTGATTTTAACCAGCCACTATAGAAGTGCGTGTCTCAGAAGTGGCAAGCCACAGTTATCTGTCCATATTTCACTAAGTGAAATAGGTGAAAACTAATTAAAAAAAAAAAAAGGACTCCTTGATTATGGCTTGAACTTTCCACACCAAGCTGGCAGACTGGTCTGGTCCATGGTTAGGGACCACTGAAATTTGCGCTGGAAGTGTGCTGCGCAGCAGCTCCTTTCATCTTGGAGTTTCCCCTGCATGCCCCTCCACTGCTGATTGGCAGAGGGACCCCACTGGCCTTGCCGCTTGCTCCTAGTGGTTGGAAGGCAGAAACTGTGGTTTTAAATATGCTGCGATTTTTGCCTCCTGGCTGGTCAGCAACAAGAAGGGCTGCCGGAGCCCCTCTGCCAGTTAGCAATGGGAGGCAAAAACAACGGCATATTTAAAAATGTGTTTTTCACCTCACCTGATCAGCAGCTGGGGGACACGTAGGAGAAACTCCAAGATTAAAGCACCCACTGTGCAGTGCACTTCTGGTGCGAATTCCAGCGGTCCCGATCCATGGTGTCAGCACACTACTTGTAAATATGAAGCTATAAAATTGGTCTCTAATAACCTTTGATACTTTGGGGAAGGAATGCAACACATAAGAGTGTACCTGTGAGTGTACACAGCTGGCCCACGTTTCCTTGCACATGTGGCTCCGCTTTTCTGGTTGCTACTTGTCAGTGACACTTTGTAAATAATGAGTGTCTATACACATGTGGGGGGAGGGGGCATTTTAATTAGAGCAGTTCCTGGAGAGCCGCTCTAATTAGAACGCTTCAGTGTCATGTGTGTTAAGCTCCTACGCATTTAAACATGGCCACGAGACACTTTAACTAAAGCTCATTAGACAAGCTTTAGTTAAAGCCCCCCCCAGCGGCCATTTTTAAACCCACAGGAGCTTATACATGTGATGCTTCAGCAGTGCTAGAGCGTTCTAATTAGAACACATTGGAGTATGTGTATGGGCACAATGACTTTGACCAGAGTTCCCCTGTCCGTTGTGCCTCATGCTGTTTTCCAGTACATCTGTGTTTTATGGCCCCAATAACCCCCTTTTTCAAAGTGCTAATATTAGGTGGACTGATGCAGCATGTGATTTGGGGTCTGGAGAGAACCTTGGGCTAGAAAGCAAGGAGCTTTTGGGAAATGCAATCTATAGGAGGCAAGTGGATTGTTCTGAGTGCATTAATGGCAGTAAACTGGAATTGCATGATGCTTTTCTGTAGAGTCCAGGGCAGTATTACTTTAAACCGATGATGAAAGAATTCCGCTTTGAGCCATCTTCACAAATGATTGAAGTGCAGGAGGGACAGAATCTGAAAATCAGGATAACAGGTTACAGGACAGCTTACAGGTAAGTAGAGTTGATATACCATGCTGCATTACAGAATGAAAACTGCCACACCGTCTGCTTGGACAGGCGCTAAACCAAAGTTTTCCATTGGTGTACCTCTTTACAGGTTGCTTGTATGGGCTTTTGAAGGCAGAACTTAACTTTTTTATGCTGAACTTTATAGATGGTTATTTTCCAGTGTATTTGAAGATGACGTTTTATGACAAAACATACATAGGATAAAACATTGCTCTGAAACATTTTTGGGACACTTTATGCAACTGTCACATGAAGTCTGCACCACAGCCAGTGGGAAAGGGAAAGAATTGCATGTGGAACACTTTCTTTAAAAGATTTGTATCTTTCTGTTGGCTATAAAAGCAGAGTGTCTCTTTAAATGTTTGCAGTAAAGCACTTGTCTGAAGTAATTGATAGGCCTGTGCAAATAAGAAAGTATTCTATTTGGATTTGACTGATTTTGGGAGACAGTAATTTGATTTGGAGATTCGGGTCACTGTTCCGAATTGTTTCGGCCAAACAGCTTCGGAAGGTTAGGTGCTAATTCAGTGATTTGGCCATAGACTATAATGGGGAATCACTGAAATTACCTGTAACTTGTCATTTTTTGGCAGATTTGGATGAAAACAGCAGGGAGGGTAGCCTGCCAAGTTTCAAGGAGATAGGTGCAGGGGTTACTGGGAAACTGCGCCTCAAACTGCTGAAAGCAAAACTCATGTGACTTGTGTGTGTTAAGGTAGATTTGGATGAAAACACCAGGAATGGTAGCCTGTAACAGGGGGCCTTCCCGGTGCCAGTTAGATCTCTGCCCACCCACCTGTTTCTGGGCCATCTGCCCACCCCTTTTTTGCTCAGGCAGAAACAGCTCACAAAAGGGACAGAAAGGCTGCCGACAGAGGCTCATATGCTGTTTCTACATCCCTTCCCCAGAGCACTGTGATTAAAAGAGGACTCAGGGAAAGATCACAGTCACTGGCCAGCTACAGATGTCAGTCTTTTTCCCCCCTGCTTCCCCTCCCTCGTCTCAGTTTCGGTTCCCCTGAAAGGCTGCCTTCTGAATCTTTTTCCGAATAGGTTCGGAGGGGGTTTTTTGGGCTTTGGATTCGGTGATTTGGCCTCTGAATCAGGCTGAATCTTCTCTGAATCGTATCAGCGACTGAAGCTTCACACACCCCTAGTAACTGATTCAAATTTTCTGCCTCTAGCTGTTATGGTACAGTTTCTTCTTTAAATGGGGAACCTGAACAAGGAGTTTCAGTGGAAGCTGTGGGACAGAAAGACTGTAGTGTGTATGGAGAAGACACAATAACGGATGAAGAGGGTAAATTCAGGCTGCGTGGACTTCTGGTAAGGAGTATCACAGTGGTATATTTGCTTACATGTTATTGGGTGCCTATACACAAGTGCGGAGGCTTGTTACCAAATTTGCCCATTACTTTGGGGTGTGCTCATTTATTAGGATAGTTTCTAGGGTCTTGGTGATTCTGTCAATGTGCTGCTTGTGTTACTATACGGAGCTGTATTTCTCCCTTCTGCAAGCCCTCACCCCCAGTGGAGCTATCTTGCAGGACTCACTCTCAATGGGACTGGGTTCCTCCAGTCACCAAATCAGTCATACACACAAACACACACACAAATTAACGTGACACGCCTGACCTGGCCGGGCTGATCAGCATGGACAGGCTGACACCCTCATATGCCAAGAATCAGTTCATAAGAGCAACAATAAAATGCAGTCAGACACAAGCACACAGGTAAACAGAATCCCTCTGAATCCGGCTGGGTGTCCAGCTGACACCCTCATGGGCCAGCATTCAGTTCATAAGGGCACGTCTGAGTCAAACTGGGTCAATCAGCCTGTACAAGCTGATCCCCTTATGTTTCAAACTCAGCACGTCCCAATCTTTGGCCTCTCGATGAGCAGACCCCACAATAATTTGGGCTTCACAGGGATCTTTAGCATAGGTAAAAGAAGCGTTGCTGCAGAGCACGGGAGGAAAGAGACGCAGAGAAGGAAAAATATACCCAATTACTACCAGTTTGACTATAAAAGTTATTTATTGCTAAGCATATGAAATATATAATAGTACTAGTAGTAATAGACATGCAGAAGAAAAACAAACACCAACAATGACAGTAC